CTCTCTGGAGACCATCATGAAACCAGGTCGGAAAGGTTGACCCCATTCTTCCAGCAGCAGCAAGAAACATTGAAAAACAAAGCTTTCCAAATCGACAGTAAAAGAAATCCATTGGGAGCCTCTCTGCGACTAGTCCAACCGAAAACTAAAACCACATTCAACAAGAACGAACTAACATCATAGTGTAAGCAGCATTTCAAAACATAGGACATCTGAACATTCCATCCAAGACTGCACTGAACTGTGCGGCCGAAACCGTCCTTGAAGTGCTCCGTGTGTCGCTGCCAGAGTGAGAAGGGTGTGGCCTCTGCCCCAGGGCCTGCAACATGGAAATGGAAAGCATCTAGCCAAGGAGTGTGGGGGAACAGCGGTGTATTATCCTTAGGACTTCAGACACGCCTCTGCATGTACATGTTCTGTAGAACCTACAGATTCCAAATGGCAGAATGAGCGGCCCTTTTTATCCTTGCCGAAGGGCCGTCCTTGACATGCACAAGTCGGTCGTCAATCGTGTGACAGCGGGGAACTGAACAAAAAGAACCCAACCACAAAGTCTAATACATTATTCTGGTTTTCTGCAATCTTCTTAAGTTAATTCTCTTACGAGATTCAATGAACTGATTCAATGATTCGAAACATCGGGTCATCGAACAACGTGTGTCATGCAAAACTTGCACGGGCGAGTCCACCGGCGACAACATTCGTCATCTCTTGTCTGACATAAAATCATACTTTGCGAAAGACACGTTGGAAAGTTATAGCATTACGTACACCGGGGACTTGCTACGGCTCCTCTTCTTCGTCCAGCGACTGAATTGTCCTCGTGAAACGGCCCTGCAAATCCTTCAACAAATCGAGTGAGCTGCGCCTGTCCTGCTCCAATGTGAAGCATGAACCGAAAACGTGTGCAGCGATGTCGTCGTCCAGCAAGTGCAGGTCGCGTGCTCTCTCGCGCCATGCAGTCTGGAAACGAACGAGCGCTTGTGAGATGGTCGGCGTGTGCTTGACGAAGCCCTTCGGGTCGGGAGTGAACAGCGAGCGTGTCGTCTTCGCGTAGCAATCCCACGTCACCACACCGAGTGCCCACATGTCCGCCTTCGGGCCGATCTCCACCTCTTTCATCAAAGTGAAGCTGCTGAGCAGTTAAGGGAAACGACAACAAAATGAAACACATAGTCATACTTCCTGCCAAAAAACAAGTCAATTCTTAAAGACATGGCTGTTACTAGCAAGATATGAAGTTTTTCAGGCTATGTCTTTGACTAAGAAGCTGAGTCTACGACTGCATGTGCTGACATGACTCTTCTATGAATCAAGAATCAGATCTTTGTGTCAAGTTTTCAATTACAATGGCCATTGCGAGTTTGCTAGTAGTAATGACATCAGTTGGATCCGGGAATGCCTGAGGTTGATCTGGTCCTGCAGTTCAGATCCGCAAAATCATAAAGTGTTACTAGAATGAACATACGCACCGGGCTTACTACTTTCAACTTTCTTCGACTAGGATTCATGGTCCAGGCCTTGCCGTCCCCGGAGTAAAGGCACTCGATCGGCCGGTAGTACGTCGTGTAGACTTCGTCAGCTCTGACTTTTGCTTTTCCATTGAGTGGCAAAGCTCGGCAAAAACCAAAGTCGGACAGCACCACCCGCTCGCCGAGGAGAAACACGAGGAAGTTGTTCGTTTTCACGTCCAAATGTACGATGTTTTTGCTGTGCACAAATGTAAGAGCTGCGAGTGTCTGCCGAAAGTACGTCGTTACTTGGGCTCGTCGTGTGCTCCAGGGAACTCCGTCCTGAAGGTCGTCCGTCTTCAAGTCCCGTGTGGCCTTCAAGAGGTCGCAGGAAGCCCGCTCCATTAGAATTCCCGTGTGCCCAGTCGAGGATGTCAGCAAGGCATAGAGTCGCAGAACATTCGGATGAGGTCCTATCTGGCTCAAAAGAGTGAACTCACGGGTCAAGTCCCACGTCTTTTCGAGACCGTCTTGGTGCACGTCCAACAGTGCAGTCTCCCTGTCCGGCGTGCGAACGGCCACTTTCAAGGCTAACTTCAGGCCCTGGTACGTGCAAGCGAAAATCTCCCCGTACGTGCCGCGACCCATATGTTTCTCCTGCACCAGTGGGTCCTCGGCCGTGTAGCGAAAAATGCCACGACCGTCGAAGTCCTGCGACTCTGCGACGTCCGGCAGTTCTCTGTCCATGAACGAAGCGGGGGGAACTTCCGTGTGTTTGGCCTGTCGAAATTCTTCGCGTTGGACCCGATTCTCCTGGTAGCCCTGCCTGGCCTTGCGTGTGTACTCGTCACGGAGGTCCTTTCGGTTGTGCCTCGGGGAACAGAGGAATTTTACTGGACGATTGGGTGAAAAGGTAATCCCCGAGTAAAAAGTAACATGACTTGTATTAGGACTTTTAGCTACATCTTATTAATTATGTCTGAAGTAAATAACTTTGGTACGTAGCTAAGATGGCATATTCGGGTTCCTGACCAGAATTGCCAAGATTTTACTTCCCGTGGCTTCAGATGACTTGGGGTTCTAGGCAAGGGGCACATGTGTCAGTATCTATATTGATTTTGCAGCCAAGAAGCCACTTGCGCAGATAATGTTTTGAACCGCGAAGTGATGTTTTCCGGGACAGTCGACGACGAGATTTGGGGTCCACAGAGTCCTTGCACATGTCCTGCATGAACAGCGCGTATGCCGAGGGTCGTCGTGACAGTCCCACCTCCTGTAACTTCGGCCGGGCCACCATGGCACGAGTAATACTTCGAGGATGGAACCACGAGTCGAGACATGTACAGAGACTCTTTCCGTTCCATTTATTTCAACAAAACTGAATTCTCATGGACTCCCACCGAGAATAACAACCTAGGTTTCAAGTACAAACATTTCTGGTACAATTTCCAGTTGCGCTACATGACTACTCATTATCTTGTGTGTCCGTGGGGAAAGTTACACAGAAGGTGAGTGAGGGCGCGTTGGCTCGCCATATCAGTACATGTCTGGCCTACTTAAAATACGTGCTCAATGCATGGACGACATGCTCCTGAACTTGAACCCACATCACCGCCACTGTCTCACACACGTAGCAGTGCATTACAGAAGTCTGACTAGAAGCATCAATTGCACGGATCAAACACGCGTGCAAAGCGGAATAATCCTCTTTTGGGCCCGACGAATGTGTGCATCGATGCTGAACGACGATGTGCTACGAGGAGAAAAAGTCCAATCACGGGCATGTCAAGTCCGAGTGAACTCAGGAGTCGAACCTTGTCAATCGCTCCTGCAAGTTTTCGGGTGGGTCACGTCCTTCGTGGTGCTCCACCCATGACCAACCTTGTGTTACACAGGCTCGACCGGCGGCAGCTTCACCTACTTGTGTCCATGAAATACTACGTGTAATGCTGACTACAGCTGTCTTGTACGACACCTTCCAACGACCATTCTTTGGGTCCGTCCAAACCTGTACAGTATCAGGAACCATGCTCTTCACAAGCTCGTCCGTCGTGGCATTCAGCTTTGCGTACACCCGGTCGTACTGCTGCTTTAGCTTTTTGCTGTCCTTCTCGGCCTTCTGAGTCTTGCGTCGGCGTGTGTCCTGTCCGGCCTTCCAAAAGTCCTTGTCCAGGTCCGAGACGGCGTTCTTGTACATCGTGCATACCTTGGGTCGTAGACTTTTGGCCGAAACCGTGGACCGACGGGCACTGAGCTCCTTGAGGGCCTTGTCCTGCTCGCCAATGAGCAGCGTGTCCCGAACGACGGCTTCCAAGTCCTTGTCGTCGACCTCCGGCATCCACTTGTCAGTCTGATGCCTTGCCAGGATTCGTTGAACCACGTCCTCTTCGACCAACGAGTTGTCCATGTTGAGCATGGCGGCAACAGCCAGCTGATGTCCTGCGTCCACACCTGATTTGGGTTGGGTGGCGGTCCAACCCATGTGCTGGCACAACCTGCGCAACAAAGCCTCAGAACAGGCAGCGAAGCCCTGCTCGGCGTGAAAGTCCAACGTGCCCATCTTCTTGTCCACCAAAAACACGATGCCGTTGTTGAGGTGGCTGCCCTGCGTGGAACGACCTCAGCAGTAGCAGTAGCGGCAGCAACACTCTTAGTAAAAAATGATCGCAATCGTTAAGTTTTGCGCCTGGTCAGTAAAAAGCGGTGATATCACTAGGAAGACTGGTAAAAAGACTCGAAAAGGGTAGTAGTAGTAGTAGTAGTAGTAGTAGTAGTAGTAGTAGTAGTAGTAGTAGTAGTAGTAGTAGTAGTAGTAGTAGTAGTAGTAGTAGTAGTAGCAGTAGTAGTAGTAGTAGTAGTGATAGTACTAGTAGTACTAGTAGTAGTAGTAGTACTACTACTAGTAGTAGTACTACTACTACTAGTAGTTGCAGTAGTAGCAGTAGTAGTTGTAGTAGTAGTAGAAGAAGTTGTAGTAATACTAGTAGTAGGAGTAGTAGTACTGGTACTAGTAGTAGTAGTAGTAGTAGTAGTAGTAGTACTACTACTACTACTACTACTAGTAGTACTTGTAGTAGTAGTACTACTACTACAAGCAATCGCAGTAGTTTACAGTAGTAGAAGGAATCTCAGCAACAGTCCTAGTAGTAGTAGTATTACTACTACTAGTACTAGTACTACTAGTACTACTACTACTACTACTACTACTACTACTACTACTAATACTACTGCTAGCACTAGTACTAGCACTAGTAGTATGGCCAAAAAAGTGGTAGCAGTACACACAACCACACCCTCCTTTCGTCAATACCCAAAACCTCGACGCACGTGCCATCCTGGGCTACTCAACCTAACTCTGTGAAACTTCGAATCCTTGACTGTCGAATCGCCTGAGTTGTTCAGAAACCCATAAAAAATAGCTTCAGTGCTACCCCCCCCGGGCCGAAACTTACAATCTGAACCGGAGAAGCCTTCCGTGTCAATCAATCATCGTCACTCATTATAGGACGAATATATATGTAGAGAATGTCCGTGTCGGGCTGACAATGTTCAACTGTACTGCAGCCGAGGCACGCAGAGGTGAAACAACTCGCAGCCGCAACACTTCCAAGTCCAAAGATGTGCTGTGCATCCAAAAGAGAGACCGAACGCCCATGTTGAATTCGAAAACTCATGGTCCTTGTCCTTAACGATCTTGCCGGGCCATGCGAGTGCAGCCAAACGGTATGTCCGAACGATGAACAACGGGTCTGCACCTGCCAGTACAACATGTCCTTCGGGCAAAAGTCCAGAGCACCAACCTTCTTCACAAAGCGACCATCGCTTGGCCCTCCACGCCTTCATCAGTAAACTGAAGGCAGCCAAAACCTCCTGTTCCTCGGCGTGGTTGTGGGAGACCCAGTCCCTCGTCTTCGTCACGTCTGCAAGAAGCTGTGCTTCCTGCACCTCCGAGGCACTGACCTGCGTGCTGACCGACGAATCGGAACGACGACGAACTGCTTGAATCTTCTTCTTCTCGGTGTCTTTGCAGAAAAGTTTGGCCACGTCAAACGCTGCCGGCGTGTGGTAGAGCTCCGTTGACAGTGCCTCCACCCTCTCGTACATCTTGACCACGGCCTGTTGGGTCACAGCCTTCCATCCGTCCAAACGACCCAAGTCCTTCGAAGACGAATGTCGTTGCTCGGCCTCGCGCTGGACTTTATTACAGTCTTCGATGATCTTCGTGTTCAAGAGGCCCGACCAAATGCTGGTCAATACGTGTGCAACGTCCTCCGTAAGGCTCTGAAACCGGGTAGTGCAAAGATCGGCGAGGATGTACCGACTAATCGGCCCTTGGGAGAAATGACCTTCGAGCAATTTTTTTGCCATACGAGAACCACCACTGTGCGTGTCCTGGATACAAGACTGCATCTCTTTGAAAAAATCCAAGCTTGCCCGACGGAACTGCTCTTCAGCATGGACTAGTCCTGCGGTCGCACCGAAACCTCCAGTATGGTACAGCTGTGCCCCGGCCCGCAGCCGCAGGATCTGTAGTGTCAACTGCGTCATTTGGCCTGCGAGCGAGTCCTGCCAGACAAGCTCTGTCTCCTCCGGGGGTTGTGCGCGTGCCAGTGTCAGGTCGAGGCCGACACGAGATAAACCTTCCAAATTCGACAAAGTCCTGACGTGGTCCTTTGCAGTGCTCATCCAAGACCAGTGTGCCCAGCCAGAGTAGTAGTCCTTCGTCATGCCTTTGGAACGCAGCTGCTTGAGCATGAGCGAACAACGAAGCTCTTCGGGTTGCAAGACCTGGAACATCATCCTGGCTGTCGTCTTGTTGTCCTGCGAGATCACGAACTTCGTCATTAAGTGTAGACTGTTCGCGCTGCCCTTCCGCTCCTGGTCCATGCCTTGCTTGGCCTCCTGTATGGCAGAAGACTTGCTTCCACCATATGGAACCGAGGCACGGGCCTGGTTGCTGTCCTGCGAGAAGAGGTCCTTAGTGGAAACTGCCCAGTTGTGCTCCAAGCAGACCACCGTGAGAACTAAAGCCAAGACCGACCACTCTTTGTCCAGCGCGCTGTGGGCCGTCGTCAGGGAATTGAACCGACTCTTGCTGGCCTTCGTGCCCTTGATGCGGATGCAGTCCATGTCGGGTAATGTCTGCAAAAACGACCTGCGTTTCTCCTCCGTGTTGTCGTCCAGGGGGGAGAGGCCGGCGTCCAGCAGAATGTCCGGGAAGAAAAGGAGCAATATCGGGTCCGAGGGGTCCATGTTGTCCTTCATGCGATTTGCGGCTTGCTGGATCTTCAACGCCCACGAGCCCTTCTGCCAGGGTCCATACCTGATGTTGTACAGCGAGATGCACCATGTGCAGAACTTCAGGAGTCCAGCGGCCGACAAGGCCAAAGCCACGTCGTTGTGCGACCTGTGGGCGGGGTCCGAGACGTGTTCGATCCAGAGGCTCTTTTTGTTCCTCAAGAAGGAGACAGCCGCCAGCTGTGTTGCTTCTTGGTCGGTGCACAAAATCATGATCGGTGCACGTTTAGCCTTCGTGTCGTCCTCCGCGGGGCCGGCCGGCGTGCTCTGGCAGCAGCCAAAAGTCCAGCCAATGGGTCGCAAGCCGTGGTTTATGTCCTGCATCCAAGACAGTGTGGCCAGCCGGTCCTCCGCATGACCAGGTCCAACGGGTTTCTCGATCCCGAGGAACTTCTTGGAAGCCTTGTTCCACATAGCTTTCCACTGCTCAGCCGACAAGACGGACGATTTCTGGACCTGCTGCGTGGTCTGACTACACAGAGAAAAATGTGAAGCAAAGCTTAGAGGAAGAGCTTGTCAGCAACAGCATGCAAAACAAACGACAGAGGTTGTTACCATATAATCACCCAGGGGCCCTTTTTTGGGGGACCGGCCGGTCAACTTAAGCGGGGATCTGGCGTACCTTTTTGGGGGCCGAAATGCAGCCAAAATGTGGCCGAAATGCGTTCCTCGGCCTCCACCCGGGACCCGGTCAACTTAAGCAAGGCTGTGCGTACCTACTCATCAGTAGAAGGGCGGCCGGGAGCCTTTATCAGGCCAATCCCGAAACCCAGGGGTCAGCGGGGATACGTGTACCTATCTTTATATAAAATACAATAGAAAGACTCCGCCCCAAACCGAGCCTGAGCGGGGATACGTGTACCTCCCCTCGGAAAAACGATTTTGGTCGGACCCAGAAGCTACGAAAACGGCACCCAAAAAGGTCAACTTAAGCAAGGCTCTGACGTACCTCGCCTCTTGCCTAAAACGCCTCAGAAATATGTGTTGCTTAACAAAAAAAAAAAGCGCCTGCGGCGGGCAGACCCAAACTTTGTCCGTCGTGTGGTTGTACACCATGATGTTCAGCCAATCGTCACTTCCCACGTGCACTGCATCTGCCACCACGCACAAAATGTCCGTCGAGAGGAAATCTGACTTGCCCTGCGTGACATAGGCGTATCGCTCCATGCGTGCTAGCCTGTGTGCGTCCATAGAAGCGTGCTTCTTGATCTTTTGTTCGTCCTGCTGTTCGCTGCTGTCCTGCACGGTGAACGCATGTCCTTGCAATGTGGAGGTAAGTGTCCTGCGTGTGGCATTCGATGAACTCGCAACCTCTTGTCGAAAACTCGTGGACGACCGACGATATCCGGAGGTGCTCCTGAAACAACAGGGGGAATATCAATTTTCGGGCTTTCAAGACACAACCCTACATCTTAAAACCCCGGAACCCTCCAAACCCTTCAAACCCTCCAAACCCTCGAATCGAAACCTCTCTCCTAAGCTGCATCACTTGCTTCACATTCAAAGATGTCCAGCAGGAATGCGTGTCGTCCGACGAATCCATGGCACGTGCCAAAGCCGCCAACAAGTAGTACTTCGTCCTCAAACTAGATGACTTGCGAGTGTCTCCAATTGTCCGACGGGTGCAGTCCACATTCACATCCTGCAGCACGTCCATGAATCGGGAACGATCGCGGTGTAGTACTTTAGCAAGTAAACTGTTTTGCAGTACAACCTCGTCCACGTCCAGCGAACCTCCTTTGAACGGCAGCACCAGAGTGTTTCCGTCCCACGTGAATGAGAAGTCCTGCGGGGTCTGCAGGAACAAGGAAGCGAGGCCTTGAAGCAACTCCCCGGCCAGCTTGGATACCTCCTCTGCCGGCTTCTTCCATTTGGCATCTTTGCGCATACCCTGGTGCCATTGATGCAAAAGAACAATCGTTGCAAAGCTCGACGTGGCAAACTCTGTACAACGTGTGCTTCGTCCAGCTGCTACCTCTTCCATCTGGTCACCCGTGTGCTCCTCATTGTCCGCTTGCTCGTTGTCGTCCTCCATGTCGTCCTGCATCTGCTGCGAGGATGCCTTTCGTTTGGTGCCCTTCTTCTCGGCGTTTGCAGCGTGCTCCTGCTGCTTGAGGAGGGAGAACGAACTCTGGAGAAAGTGCGACTCGATCTCTTTTTTCAGAGCGTCCTCCGTGTCTGTCCAGCAGGGCCATGCAATCGTGAAGAGCTTGTTCCTGAACGTCGACACACTGCCTGCGAGGAAATTTCGAGACTCGTGTCCTCCGAGGAAGTCCACAAACCAACGCATGTGCCAAAAACGATGTCCATCCGTTACCTTGGTCTGCGGCTCTTTGAACTTGTAGCTCTCGCCCTTGAGGCTTCCGTGTGTCCCGCAGGGAATGCAAAATGCAACTGTCCGACGCTTGTCCGACGCAGAGCTGAAAAAAGCTGGAGGTCCTGAAGAAGAGGGTCCATCGGCAGAAGCGGGCTCCAGCATCTGATAGCGAGTGGATCAATTCTACAGTCTGTTTCTGGTGAACGAATGTAGCAAAACTTTATAGGCTATGTCCCAGGAAGTATATGTGACATCTGCCAAACCAAGAGAAAGGGAGGCTCTGCAGGCATGCAGCTTTTATTCTGGAAGCCCAAAGACAGCGGCAACGAATCGCTGATGTCGCAAGGCAGTGCTCACACCACGTGTCATGGGTCTGTGTTCTTCTGCAACATGTATGTAGCACATACTGCAAGGCACCGCAAGGAAGTCATTATTGCAGTCAGCCATTCATCGCACGTATTCTTTTATGCAGCTTGCAAGTTGCCGGCTTCACGGCCCCAGTGAAACTCGTGCCTGTCCACTCACTCAGACACAATGGGTCGAACGGCGAGGCGAACGACATTGTGCTTTTCGAGTGAACAAACTGGACAGAACAACGAGTAAAGTCAACCCCAAACTCAAGACACACTGAACTACCAGGAGAGAGTGCATTATGCACTCCGGACCGACGGGGTGCCCTGCGGCACATTGTCGCCGAGGCCAGCCGTGGTGTCTGCGTCCGACGACAAGTCGAAGGTCCACTTGGCCTTCATGTCCGGCAAAGTAGGAAAGAAACTCGCGCATTCAAAACTGAACAACGAGTTATGCTGTCCATCTGAAATGACACAGTCCACCGCAAAAGGGTCGTCCAATTGCCACGTCTTGTTGTCCGGGAGAGTAGGAAGCTCGTGGCTGAGGTACGACTCGTTGGGTACGAACTCCGAGCGGGAACGGCGAGGGTGTCCATCTTGTGTGGCAAAGACGTGGCAGTACAACGTGTTGTTCTAAGTGACCAGATGTTGTACCTGTCCCGGTCAACACTGATAGCCTCCGCCGAGTTCACCGCAGCTATGTAGTTGCGACCAACGTCCTCCATGCGGGCCCTCGCTAACTTGACCAACGTGGACTGATAGCGAATGTCCGCACGAGATGGCAAGGACGCCGACTTGGCTGCCCAGAACTGGATCTCGAAGAGGGTCCGTAGGACGGGTTCGTCCTTCTGTACGTCCTCCGCGAGCTCCACACCGCAATGCTTGAGCATTAAGCTCGCCATCTCAAGCGGCAAACTGCCCCATTTGGTGCACTTGCCCTTCCATCTCAGTCCACCGGTCTCCTCCTTCTTGGCAACGTCCTTCAGAAGACCATTCAACGAGCCCGAGCGGATCAGACCAGCGAGTGGAGAAATCCAAGTCGGGTTCTGGGTCAGCGTGTCTTGAATGAACCGCATGTCCACGTCGAGTATGGTGCTTTTGGAGTGCTGAACGGCGGATGCGAACGTCGCCTCGTTGCGCTCCCGGGTCTTGATGTCCTTCGCTTTCTGCTTCGCCAGCTGCTTGAGGGTGGGCTTGCGGGGGCCGGCATCACGAGGCATGCTGGGCAAGGTCCGTCGAGGAAGAACGACGGGGGAAGGATGATAAGACTGCACGAAGTCTCAACGCACAGGCAGGACGGCTTCGGAAAACCAAACAATCAATCAAGCCCTGCTGCTGGGTGGTCTCACAGTGCATTGTGACTGGACGAACATGGCAAGCAAGACACAAAGCGTAGACCGCACGAGAGCACAGTGCCTGAAACGAGAAGGCTCAGCGGCAGCGATGCCGGCCAATGGAGTCCGTGTCCTCCATATGAACAGGACAACAGCGATTGCAAGAGCGCCTTCCTCCAGCTGGTTGACTACTGGTCTAGTAATTACTCGTAGCAATACTAATCCAGATTGCGAAGAGTAGTACTAGCAGCAGTACCACTACTCATTAAAGAAAGGAAAAACCAGTAGGCCGAAATTGCAGTCCCTATTAGTTGAAGTAGAAGTATTAGTAGTAGTAGTACTAGTAGTACTAGTAGTAGTAGTAGTGTACTAGTAGTAGTAGTAGTAGTAGTAGTAGTAGTAGTAGTAGTAGTAGTAGTAGTAGTCGTAGTAGTAGTACTAGTACTAGTACTAGTCGTAGTAGTAGTAGTAGTAGTACTAGTCGAAATAGTAGTAGTAGTAGTAGCAGTAGTACTGGTTAGCTAGTAGTAGTAGTAGTAGTACTAGAAGTAGCAGTAGTAGTCGTAGTAGTGCTAGCAGAAGTAATAGTAGTACTAGCTAGCTAGCTAGCTAGCTGGCTAGCTAGTAGTAGTAGTAGTACTAGTAGTAGTACTACTAGTACTAGTAGTAGTAGTAGTAGTAGTAGTAGTAGTAGTAGTAGTAGTAGTAGTAGTAGTAGTAGTAGTAGTAGTAGTAGTACTAGTAGTAGTAGTAGTAGTAGTAGTAGTAGTAGTAGTAGTAGTAGTAGTAGTAGTAGTAGTAGTAGTAGTAGTAGTAATTAGTAATTAGTAGTAGTAGTAGTAGTAGTAGTAGTAGTAGTAGTAGTAGTAGTAGTAGTAGTAGTAGTAGTACAGTAGCAATGCTAGTAGTACTTGTACTAGTCGTGGTAGTAGTCGTAGTACTGAGTTGTACACCTCATGATTATTTTCCTGAATCAAGCCACACCCGAAGCCCCTCTGTGGACAAGTATGGTGAACTTCCAGAAGTGAAATCGGTTTATACCATGCACTGTAAGTAGATCTAGTTAAGGAGACACCACCCGCAATGAATAGGCCAGAACTAACCTTAATGATTCACAGCCACAAACAACAAATCTAATGTGTAACGCCCAACACTAAAATTTACCGCTCACCCTCGATTCTATGCACTCGATGCTTGAAATGCTGAAATGGCAACCCAGGCAACAAACCGGACTCCAATTGCTCAAAGGCCTTTAACTCTTTATGTCTACGGCAATTGCTCCATGTCTGCTGCAGGTGGATCCTAACTTACCTCAGAGTCCGCGCAATGCCTTGTCACAATCCGAAAGCATGACCCCTGACTTAGTCCTCGTCCTGCCGTGTGGCCGTGCCCTGCGAACCGAACGAGGAGTGACCGACCTCAATTGCAATGCATGAAGCACATGACAAACCTAGTACGAGTGACTGGTGACTGCGGGTGGTTCAAGCACTTGTCGCTTCCGAGTGTGACAGGAAAGAACACAGCAACTGTGCCGATGCAAATCGTCACAAACTGTGCAGCACCAGAACTCCGAGGACCCCGCCAAAGAGGTGCCAGTCCATGTCAGCAACCTGAAGCGCAAAAGTTTAAGTCAGCAAACAGTGCGATAGGAACTAACATCCGGCAAATGTAAAGTGTGCCAGGACAACTCTTTTGAACGGCGAGAGCGAACTGATCTGAACTCCGAGTGCAGAAAACGTGTCACTTTCGAGACTGGCCGGCGAGAGCGAACTGCTCCAGAACTCCAAATGGAGACTGGCCGGCGGGTACGTCGTGCTTGAACGAACTGCGGCTAGTTCCACGAGCCCGGTCCAAGTTCGAGTTTCTTGAGAAACAGTCCGATGCACTGAAAGTCGATCGTGTCACCTGAACCAGCGATGTCCGAAAATTTGTCGACTTGGTAAGTATTTCAGTTATACTACAAGGTTTACCAACAAAAATCTTACTGGTTCTGCTGTTGCACGTCCGTCGGGGCCCTTCGTGATGCAGAAGTACAAGTCCGACGCGTTGTGCGACGACACCGCGTAGTACATGTGGCCCTGCCAGGGAACGGGGACGGCCACCGGGTAGGCCTCCCAGTCGCGGTTCAGCATCTCGACCATCCACGATTGCGGGTGTCGGGAACCGAACAGCGGGGAATGGAGTCCGGCGGAGAGGGCGTTGTCTGTCCTGCGCTGGGCCGCCCCGAGTATCTGCTTGAAGCAGAGCCTGGACCGGCAGTGGGTGCTGCGTGTTTAACCACTCACACACACAAGTGCAAGTACTGGAATGCTTGAATGACTGAGTGCGCTGATGTCATAGCTGAGTGCCACACTCCAACATTTTATCGCCCTGCATGTGTTCGACGAGTATCTGCCAGCCGTCGTCCTTCCTGCTAGGGAACAATTCAATTATCAGAAACACAAACTATTAAAATCTAGAAGTCTCTCTCACTCACCGTCCGAGGAGTCCGTGTCGCGAAGGCAGGGGGCCGCTTGTACAGCAGTCCATCGGTTGCAGCAAGCCAAGACCAAAGCCTACGGGATGTGCTCTGTGGAAAATAATCAATGTATTATAATATTATATGGCTTTAAAAGCATGCACCTTCATAGAAACCACGCTACAACCAACATGGGTGTAACGAGCCTGTCCGCCCATTTCTGCTGCGTGTCGTACGGCGAGTGTTCGGGTACAAAGACAGTCGAGAGCCATTCGGTGCGCCATTCGGGCATCCTGTCGGGTTGTCCAGTGCGGAAATAATATGCCTGCGCAAGGCTCAGATCGGCGAGGAAGCACTGCAAATCCTCCTGCGAGTCAATGTCCGGCGGAAGGCAGTCCAAACAGTTCGACGGCAGCTGCTCGCAATAATCGAGATTACGCTGCAGGATGGTACTTGGGTCTTCCATCCCACAGACCGACGCGAGGTAATAGTCCATCGCACGAAAATCGAATATGACCTCGTCCTGCGGGTCGGTGGAACGGCGAAGAAAAAACGGGAGTCCATGGGGAAGTCCTGCTCGGTCAGCGGAACCGGAGGACGACATGTCCGACGAGAAAGAACGAGGAAAGGGAGAGGAATGATGATGACAGTGGCAGGTGGCTTGGGCTTTCTGGCAGCGGCATGATAACAATGATTCTGTGTCTAGGCTTCTTTAAAAAACCTAAAGCATCACCAACCACGACAGACCATGATGCTTCAGATGAAAGTCTGCCTGACTTGTGCTGCTGCTCCACACTGGCAAGTGCTAGGCTGCCCACGGTGATCTACGTGTGCCCACTCGAAGTCCAGCGGAGTCACCTTTGTGAGGCCGACGTTAGTACTACATGGGAACCATGGACTCATGATTTGTCCCTAGTCCTTCGGGGTGGTCCTGCGGTGCCGCTTTTGAACTTCCTAGCTTAAATCATAGTAACTTCGAATGCAAAGTGCACAGAAAAGGAGCTTGGACAGTCCTAGGAACCGACCTTGAACAGTCTGGTTACAAAACCCAGCATTCTTTACAAGAGGCAAGCTGCTGAGTAGAACCATCGAACTCCGAACGACCGTTGCAATGTGTACTGACGACCCAGGCCTTGTGTCTAAGTCTTCAAACTGACATGTATAACTATGATTCTAAACTGCATTCAGTCAGCTGCTAACCACCCTTGTCCCAAAGGAACCCCACACCCTGTGTAAACCCGACAGCTGAAACACAGACTCTGTGTGTGTGTGGGTGTGTGTATGTGTTGTCCTGTGTATGTCCTGCGAGTGCCAACAGCTGTTGCTTAGTGTTGCATGGGAAACCAGATGAACACAACGTCCCAAATGAAGTCCCCAATCTCAGAAGATGTAAGTAACAAGCGAAGAAACCTGTAAGTAGCATCTCAAGACAAGATGGTTCCAAAGGCAACCGCTAAAGAAAAGTATAAGTACCAGGAGAACAAACAGGGAATGTGCATTCTCGAGTCCAGTACCATTATACCACTGCACAAGTGCAAGAACTTACTGTACTTACCCTGTGCCCTGAAGAGAACCATCCTTTAAACCCAAACAAAAAAAGCATGAACAGACCTGAGCTTGCAACGAAGGATTGCGCATGGAAGACCTGATGCGAGGAAGCTTGAGGGCTTCTCCTCTTTAATATTTTATAATTCTGAGTATTAATATAATATTATTATTGCCTGATGTGAAAACTCCACAAAGACTGAGACACCCAATCCAAACCACTTTTTGACTGTCCATGGTTTGAATATCAAAAAGCTCGTAAATTAAATATGAAGACAGACCTTTCCTGAGAGGGAAGAATAACGATTCTGAAGCCCCCTGTAGACTACTGCAAACTCCATTATCGCAAATCCACCTCTGAGTCTTTGCCATCCGACTTAACATTTACATAGAAGACATGGACACCACATTTTCCTAGCCGCATGGCATATGAGAAATATGAATTATCTGTGCAGTAACGGCGCGGCAAAACAGCTAACTCCAAACCGTGATAAATCTTTCATAAGAGACCACGACCCAACCAGCAACACATGATCGGAGCCGCTCTGAGCACCCAGCTGCGAAGAAAGGGTGGCTTCAAAGCACCTGACGCTGGCAAACACTGGCATGCTGATACGACTCACTTACTACCTCAGGAAAGCATTCTGCGGCAACGACTGCAGAACCGCACTTTTTCCTGCTGTGTCCGGCGAGTCGAGAAGTTGGCGAGTCGAGTACCGTGTATCAGACCGACGAATCAGGATATTTCTCTATTCCAGGATGCTGCTATGCGGCCTTCTAAAACATTAATTTAATAGTTTGTCCTTCGAGGAACCGTCGAGTCTGATATGCACGGGAACTACGGGGGACTCCGTCCTCCGGGGGGAGCAGCCGGCTTGCGGAT